CCCCCCCCGCTCCGCCGTGGTCTCGCCCACCCTCACCGTAGCGCGGGTGTCGCGGCGGGCGCCCCAGCGCCTCCAGCCCGCGCGGCGCCCACAGCAGGAGGGGAAGGAGCAGCGCGGGGAGCGGCCGCAGCCTCATAGTCCCAGCGCGGCTGCCGCCGCTCGCAACCGGCCCGGGAGACTCGGCCCCGCCGCGGCCCTGCAGGGCCCGCACCCGGAAGCGCGCCCGCGCGCGCGTGCGCAGCACTGTGGGCGCGCGGGCGGGGCCGCCATCTTAGAGGCGGGGGCGGCTGGGCCGGGCCTGGCCGGGCTCGGCTCTGCCGGGCCCCGCTCTGCCCCGGGACCGGCCCGATCCGGCCTCCCCCGAGCAGCACCCGCCTCGAGGCCGCACAAAAGATGCCTCCTCCAGCATAATTGTCCCTTATTCACTATTTTCTTCCTGTAAAAATGCTAGGTCCAACGTGCTTTCCAAACCAAGAGTGTCTTGCCTCTCAAAAGGGAGGGCTCCAGGGAGGCCTGGCTTTCCCCGAAGGCGCTTGTGTTGCCAGCAGTTTGCATCTAGTGCATCCCCAAAGCAGAGGTGGCACCTTCACACTCAGCAGTTAGCAATGTCTGTCCATAAATTTATCCAGTTGGCCCTTAGTCCATGTAACCTTGTAGCACCCACAACACTGTGCAAGTTGATCCACATGTGATAAAAAAAAATCCGCTGTCTTTGGCAGGAATCTGCCATTTCCCAGCACCTTGGGATGCTTCTTGCTTTGAAAGAGAGTAAAAATTCCACGTGCTCTGGGCCCGAGCGCCACTGGATCAGATCGGATCGGATCCCCTTTGGGTCTCAGGTGGTTTCTCTTACAGACTGACAAGACCCAGTCGACTCCAGTCATTCTTCCTGTCATTCTTCCCATAGGAATTGCTTTTGCTATATCCAGTTCTACTATATCCTGCTTGGGATGCTGGGACTGGAGCTGCATATTACTGGATTTACACGCTACATTTCAATATTCCCTGTTTTAATCTCACTATTTTTCCTAATAAATAAATAAGTAAAATCTAAAAACAAACCTAGCATTGTGTGCTGTTTGTTGCCACCGAGCTGGCTTTGTCCCATGAACAGTTACTGGATTTCCCAGATCTCAGCCCTGCGCTGTGAGGCCCAGCTCGGGCACCCTCGTTTTGCACGGGGGCCTCTGTGCACGTGTCTGCTTTGAAGATCATCTGTGGTTTTATCACTAGTCACAATTGCCATTTGAAGACTGAGTACAGAGATGCCTAGTGCTCTCCCAGATCACACAGGGTATCCTATCCCACCTTACCATAAAAGCGTGGTTTTCCCTTAGATCCTGGGCCAGAACTACTGAGATGTCGTCCAGATTCTAGAGCATCTTGCTTGGCACCAGGCATATGAACATGGGTGATGGATCCGAGTCCCTATATTGAAAGGTCTCTCAGCATTTTTTCTTGGCACACCTTTTCTTTCCTACTGTGAATAACATGGTCTCATCAGAAGACTTCGGCTTTTTACTTCTCCCTTCCTTATTTAAATCATTTATGAGTAAGCACGGAGGTGTGAAGAGGCTTTCTTTCACTATGAGAATTGATCTTTTAGCTTCTATTTTCTATCTTAACCACATTTTCATCCATGTAAAGGTTCTCTCTTTTTGCTAGGAAACACTGTTGAAAGCCTTTCAGAAATCTGTCTTCAATCCCCTGTATCCAAATGCTTGCTGACATCTTCAGAATATTCCCTACCATGTTGGTAAGGCAAGACATCTTTTCACAAAAAAAGTTGACAAAGTCATGTCGACCTTTCGCTAGGAAATCCTATTTGTCCAATATGCACTAAGTCTAGTTGCTACTTATCTATTTAGTGCAGATATCAGTTTTGGTTGTCAGTAGTTCTCCACATCTACCCTAGAAACAGTATGTATATATTTATATAATTATGATACATTTGATACAGTCCACTCCTTAGATGCCAAAAACAACAACAAAAAAAGATTTTATTCCATAGTTACTATTTCAGTCATTAAACCCTTGAGATTTTGGATGAAGAACATCCAGTCTTGAGAACCTATTACCATTCATTTGTCTACTCTTTAATTCATAAGCTTTTTCTAGCATTCAGTTTGAAACAGAACAAAGGGAATCCAGTAATGATGGTGCTAGCAAAAGAACAGAAACACCAGAAGCTTGTTCAGGTTTTCCACTGTGGCTGTATCTGATACGGGCTGCAGCTGCTCCCCAGCTGTACCTGCAGTCAATGATTACAGAATCTCTTGCTCACTTCTGGTGCTCAGTCCACCAAGATTATCGAAATAACCTCAGATCCTCTTGAAAATAATTCATGGTTGAGTTCTGTTCTTTCTATAACTCTCCTGACTTTAATCATGACCCTATGAGACTGTTTTTCTTTTTTTTTTTCCCTAGATGAAAAAAACTCTTACTTCATTTAGCTTTTCATCGTGTGGAAGATAATTCGTATTTGTGCTCCTGCCTATTGCCTCTCTTTGTATTTTTTAAAATATGGCATATCCTTTGTGACGTAGCTAATATATCTAATATATTTATATATATATATATATATGTATATATTAGATATATCTATATCAATAATATATATTGATATATCTATATAGATTGATGCATTATATTATATATCATAGATATATGTATATAGGTATATAGATATGATATCTATATAGATATCTATTGATATTGATATCCATATAGATACATAGATATAGATATCTGTTATATATATCTAATATATCCTTTTCCTCTGCACATATCTGAATTATAGCAACATTTCTTTTGACCTCCACTGAATAGAGTTGAAATTTCAAGGATCTAGCCACCATTATTCCAAAATCTCTTTCCAAAATAGTAATGATTAAACTAGTGCTCATCATGGTACGTATATAGTGTAGATTATAGCTTGGCTTTAATCAGCATTGATTTACATTTACCCTTTTGTCAGATGTCATTTAATACTGCAAGATGGGGCTTTTTTTTTTTGAAAGGTTTTATCTGCAAACTACTTATCCCTATTTCTAGAACATACATCGGGCAGTAGAGGTCCCAGTATAGTTCCTTTGGGGATCCTGCTGATAATATCTCTTCAAGGCAAAATTTATTCTTGCTTCTGCTTTCACACACCCATTTTCTTTTATTTGTGAGCGGACCTTCATATCTCTTACTGTTTTGCCCTTGTCAAAGGCAGATACAGAAAAACAGGTAGAAGATTCCTTTGTGTTATCGCTTACATTTTTCCCATACACTTTACTGAATGTTTCTCTCTGTTGCTTACTTCTTATCTTGTAAGGGCACCCTAACAATAAAAGTTACTTGTAAATATTTTCAGGGTTGTGGACTGTCAGATTTGAGTTTTGACAGAACCCAGCGCTTTGAGTCCTACATTAAGGTATTTAGACAGTGTAGTAGCAAAACAATAAACAGTAATTAGAAGTGTAATCATCTACCCCAACTCACTGATACAAAATAAATTAATATTAAAATATTTTTATTCTATGTTAATAACATTTATTTTGTATCCGTGAGTTTGAGTAGATGCCCGTGATTCTGGCATGATTTTTTGAAGATTTATACTCATATATCCAATACAAGAAGATTTTGGGAGCATTTGGTACTCCTGTACAAAGGAATTCATTCCTCACTTCCCCCACTAAGGAATTTCAGCCATTTTATCAGTATGATTAGGACCAAAACAGGGATATGATAAATGCTTCAGAATATAATTAGAAATGAATGGGAAACACCATTTAGTGTGTATTGGGGAGCATAAGAACAGTACACAGAATGGAAAAGAAAGGAAAAGAATATATCTAGCCAAGAAAGTGTGTTTTCCTATGCAAATAATTAAGGCTAGAAAACAATGGAAAGAGCTAACAGCTAACTAAGTAACAGCTAACAGCTAACCAAGTACTTGGCAAAGGAGGCTGTCCCACTAACCAGAGTGTTTCCTAAAATACACAATTCAATAACTTTCCTTAGAAAGGAAACTAGTAGATTTTATATCAGGCCCTGGGGGAGGGTTGAGGACTGCCTTTGTTTCCTGAATGTGTGAATGGTAAATGATGCCCCTAGGAAAAGGGCCTGATCTCGGTGCTGCAGAGATAAGCAACACCCAGTGCCACCCGTGTGCAGGGCCCTACCTGGAGAGAGCTGCCTCCTTTCCCACGGGAATTACGGGACTCCTGCTCCTTATGGCTTTTGCATCTGCGTTGGGCAGTCCTGGGAAGTCTTATAAGGAACGGGCATCCTTTGAGAGGAGGATGCAATGAATGAGCACCCAAGTCTCTCCTGATATTAAATAATAATAATAATAATAGCAATAATAGTAATACCTTAAAAGCACTTGGGAGTTTCTCAAAGTTGGAGTTGACTTCTAAATAAAAAGACCCCTTTCCAAAGGAAAAACAAACAAACAAACAAAGTGAAAAAAGAAAGAAAAAAGACGGAAAAAATAGGGAAACAAACAAACAAATGCACTGTGATTGGGTAACATGAGGAAGATTTTAATACAAGGGAGAATTAGACCAAATACTGAGAGCAGATCTACAAGAGTTAGCAGACAGAAAGGTCAGTAGCATCACGTCTCTTGCCCGTGGAGGTGGAGACTTCTCCCTTTTACTGACTGAGATGCTTTTTAATAAACAAAATCAGGAATCCAGTATTGTTGAGGGGAAAAAAAAGTAGAAGTTTCTAGAATCTCTGTTCCTCACGCTTTTCTCCTTGCTTTGCCTCTGTTTCTACAGGTGTCTTTCACCGAGTTGTCTGACTTGCTTCCCTTCATCTCTGTGGATGTTTTCCTTCCCGTTGGGCCTTTCATCGCTGGCAGGGCCTCTCCCTGCCTCCGTGCCCTTCAGCCTGGTGTCGCTTCCTAAACACCTGTAACAGCCTCCCGCTTTCCTCGCCCACAGTTATGGCATTAACAGCCTTTTACCGCTATTTCCCCCACCTACTCACAGGAAAAATATTGCCTACAACTCCTCAAATTCCATTATTTTTCTTTTTATTTCCATTTCTTTTTGGTCTTTCAGGACTACGCTACCACCAGCCCATGGCCTAACTCACCCGCCCTGCTAGTTTTGAGGCCCTTTATTACTACAATGTGTA